TCGCTGTGCTCGGTCGCACAATAGCGCAGCACACGATACGACACGGACTCTATGTAGCTGGTTCGACTGGCGCCAAGCCGATGGCTTCCGGCTTTTGATGAAACTTAATGAAGCAAAAGTACGAGAAAATGATAAGCGTATGTAGCTTATTTGCTTATTTATAGGACAGGACTATCCGATATATTTTTACTCACATTATTTTCGCCACTAACGTTGATTAACAACTTACAAACGTTAAGATTCAAGGACAATTTTACTTAAAAAAAAAAAGGTATTTGATTAATTAATGGACGTTTTTCGAGTATAGTATGGTTGGTCGTGCAATAAATTTGGATGTAGAAGTGACGCAGTTTGTAGATTTCTCTCTCTTTTTTTTAAAGGAACATGGTACATTTGAAACCTTGGCCGAATTATCGATCACAACATGCAACAACGTATCTATGTATAGAGTCTGAGAGTGACACAGGACCGTTTCATCTTCCGTATGGACCGATACTTTTATTTTTTATCGTTCGAGTAATTACAAAATTTATCACAGAAATTTATAACCCGTGATTAATTTTCATATATCTTGCTCGCAGGTCGACGCACGAAATGTATAAAATATATTTGAATACATGTTCGCGTTCTTTATTGGCTGCTGCGTTGTTCATTTCTTTGACGCCACATCGAGCCAGCCCAACCATGCAGTCGCGCTTGCCTTTCATGCTGCGCATCATTTCTACAGCCGGTTTAGTCGAGGACTTTTGCAACAAAGTGTTGATCACGGATAACGAACTTGGGCGCTGTAAAAAGAAATCTGCAAAGTAACTGATGGAAAAATTTTTTTTCAATCATTGTCTTTAATTAATTTATTTATTTATTGTTTTACTGTTGTAATAATTTATTTATTGTTGGTTGAAATTGCGGTGCGATGTGAATATCTTTTCAATTTGTTAATTTTAATCTTTGCTTTATTTATCGATAAGAGTAATTATAGCGATAAACAAAAAGAGAGCATTAAAAAGAAATATTTATGGTATGATATAAATATAAAAATGTACGGAAAGAGAGAGGGAGAAAGAGGGAGAGAGACATATACACGTCAAAGATACAATAGCAATGTAATAAAATAGAAATAACAGTAATAATTGCATTAGGTGTTAAACCATAAATTAACTAAACGTTGAAGCTAAGGTAGGCGTTACAAAGAGTTTCTAATCTTAATTTAACAGTTTAATTAAAGCTTCGATTCTCTATTAACCCTTCACAAAAAGACGATTCAAATAAACCGCACCGGATCTTTCGGACGTTTCATTCGACTAATCCTCTGTTGTATCCAATTTTATATATCGTACCAGTCAGGACAGCCGGTTTAACTCTGGATATAATACAACTACATTCCACACGATCTCACGTTGATGTTTGTAATCTCTTTGGCTCGTCGCGCGTGCATGTTTCAGGATCTCTCGGCTCTTACTGCCAACATGCTATTGTTATAATCCAATTGCAATTTTCCGGTTCGATATATAGAGATCATCAATTAAAGGGAAATACTATGCACGTTGGAACTTGTCTACTTTGCTATGCCGCTTACAAATTAAAGCTATGCAATTTACTCAATAATGGAAATGGCAGTGGAACTGAGATAAGGGGCTTGTAACGATACCACGATGGTTTGAAATTTCCTCTCTCCAGTTCCTCTCTCCAGTTCCTCTCTCACAGAGAGCGCTTTTGCGTCGAGTGTGTTTGCAGTATCGCATCAATGATCAAGATAGCGTACTTGGCCGCGAAGCATCGCGCTTCCTTGCGACACGTTCGTCAAAATCAGAGAATCTCGTTATGTCTGGGTCTCATGGGTTGGCCGAGTGAGTTTATCGAGAATACAAAGTAGCAATCAGTCGAGAATTGTCGGCGCGTCACGCCTGATATCGTCATGTATGAGTTGAGCCGGGCCAAGCAGGTAGACCGGGCCGAGGAATGCCACAGGGTAGCATCACACGAATGTGCTGATACACACGCGCAGACATCGAACACATCGTTATACATCGTCTATGTATAGAGCATCCAAAGTGCTTCGGCCTTTAGGTGAATGGCTAAGCAACCTTGACGAAGTGTTTGGAATGCGCCGGCCGTTGCAATTTCTTAAGTAGGCTACCCAGAAGCGATGAATCTTCCGACCGTTCCTTTGTATCGCGCGTTGGCTGCGTACCGGGTGCAACCTCGCAACACACGTGTTGCCACCTTGCAATTTTGCGTCGTATCTCTCTCGTTCCCTCCCCTCCCCACACTTCCACGTATAATTTCTACCGCTGCGAAATACGATCGATGGCGTTTTACACGGAAGGAGCTGATTCTTATAACTTTGTTAAAAAGCGGAACCCGGGTGTTAAGCGAAAAATGTACAATTATGCCTGGCGCGCTTGCGCTTGCGCTCAACGCGATCAAGTTTCCTGTAATATTTCAAAGGCATACCTTTTCGCTTACATAATTAATTGTTTGGTTCAATGCTCGCTTCATGCTCGCAAAGAATGAAAGGAATCGGTGAACAGCACATCGCGAAACACCTTCATGAATGCGAGCACACGCCGAACACCTTATATATTAATGTACCTGATTATACATAACAGCCATCCATTTGTTTCTGCATATCTATATTTAGCGTATTTGTGCTACGCTAATTACTACTATTTGCAAAAGAGTGTACGTTAACTTAAGATAATAATTATTCGTTACATTGGTAACTGATTATACGAAGACAAGTTAAAATTAGACGAAAGATAATGCACGTACTAAAGATAGCGTACAAAATTTGAAATTTTTTCTTTGCTTATCATAATTTTAAAAGTTCGCTGGAAACAAAGTTTCTTCTTAATTTTTTTCTTGTCTCGACTAGCTCGATTGTTTAAAACATCAAATTGAGGTTTATTGTGCTCTATGTTGTTCCGCTTTGATGCTCCGTACTACTTATGTATTATACGCACGCAAATAGTACACTCGTTGCCAGTACGTCTGCACTGCGTCGTGCAATTCGTTATGAATGAAACCTTCGCATCTTCTACGGCATCGCTTCGCCTCGCCTCGCTTCGTCTCGCTTCGTCGCCATCGACATCGCTGCTGGCTTTAGCAGCTTTGACGCGGCGCGACGTTATGCTTTCTCGTATATGATGTTACACGATGAAGTAATTATGAGACTCGCATATAATTAATTGTTAATTTAATAATTATCAGTACGAATCTTTCATGTACGAAAATTTATAAAAATTATAAGTCGTCTGACCTGCAGTTAAGGAAAGGGATTTTTGTTTTTATCCAGAAGGAAGTCACGTAATTAAAATTAATATCTTATTAAAAAATCTTATATCTCCCCCTTTGTTCAGTGTCGTAATTAAAAAATAGAAGACGTATATATGCGCGAATTAAATTATTAATAGAATGGTAAATAAGATAAATAAACATTTCCCCGATGTTTTATCGCTTATCGCTCGACAATGCTTGAAGTTTACCGACAAATGTGACAGAAAACAAATGTCTGATGATAATACTGCCAGTGCACCTGTCGACAACGTTATTACTGCATTTGAACACGTTGTTTACGTATTTTGGCAACGCGCATTGCCAAAAAACGTATGACTAGACTAATAGTTTAGCAAGACGTGACTTTATTGTCATATTTCGACTAGACAATTTCATTTATCAATTTCTATTATCAAGAGATAATTCGTGAAGGACAGTAACACACGCCATCAATTATCCTCGAGTACAAAATAATTTATAAGTTTGGCTCCTCTTATCGTTAGTGTTGAAAGTCATTGCTGATAACACTATTATCCTCTACTATTTTTCGAAGAGTGTGCAACATATTTCTGCAAACAAATCGATGCTATATGGAGAGAATTTTTTCTTAGAATTTACCTTGAAAATATGGTAGTCCTGGAACAACATTGTATTTCGAAAAATTTTATATAAATTTCTCTCATTCATTAATAAAACTATAATAAAATATAAAATTAGTTTGATTAATTTTACTGAAGTGCACGGTAAAAATCTTTAAAATATTGTATTGTACCACAAACTACCATATTCAGAGTAAATTTAAAAAAAATTCTCTCCGTGTACACATAACATAAAGTATTTTAGTGTTTCTTTCTTCGTGCAAATTATATTACGAGGCAATCATTCGCTAGAAGAGACATCATGTATTATAAAAGCATCCGTGAAGGAAAGCTTGGAGAATTTGCGTTTCGCAGATACGTGGCTTATCCCTCTAGGATAAAATGGTTTTGATAAAGCGACTCTGACAATGATATAGCTCGTGCGAATAATAGTGGAGGAACGACGTCTCCTTCTGTTGATTTCGACGGCAGCTGATGGCGCGACGAGTATTTTTAGCGTCTCTCGTTGAAATCGAGCACGTCGACTCGACTACGTTTCGTTACGCCTGTTCCAATACGACGATTAGCGAAACCAAGGAAGCAAGCTGCAGTTTAATGCACCGGCTTAACTGCTGCACGTTGCTGTTGCCGCGTGCCAGACGTGACTTGGCACTTGTTAGAACACGCTCGCAATCGCAAAAATCACATTACACTGATTTTTCAATTATGATTTTTATCGGATTAACACAAAGCAGTTTTCATTAGCCATTCTATGATTTCATTTGGTACTATATATAATTAAAAGTTTGTGTGAAAAAGTCAATATTGTGCGTATGGAGTTAAAACAACTCGAAAAAAGTATATATGGTAAATGAGAATAAACGTTTAATTATCTTAAAAATTCTTAAAATTCAAAGGCTTGCAGATAAATAACTTTGACACACGACGGACACGATTCCTTAATTTTGCACTTTCGCGGTTTCAGCACAGACAATATTATGATAGTCAAGTCCAGTGAGTGTTTTTTCTTTGAGATTTGTCAATGATAGCGTGTACAGCAATTATTGATCCAAATTGTATAGTTAACATAGTAGGAATCTCTGTTGCGTTATTAATTCCGTCACGATACGGTTTCCTCTGTTGCAGTGTGCCAAAGTATAGACATAAGAAATAGCGTGAGTGAATTCTCAAAACTAGAAGGATGCCGGGTGGTCGAAGGTTTTGTACAAATTCTCTTGATCGATCGAGCGGAGCAATCGGCCTACGCCAATCTCAGCTTCCCCGACCTGGTCGAGATCACTGGATACCTTATTTTATACAGGTACAACTATTTACCAATCATTTAACCCTCCGTCTGCAATTTGGGATGCATTTTGGTCTTTTAACTCAAATTTTAACTTAAAACCTTTATTTAATAAAAATTGAAACTGAACAAAAATGGAAATTTGTTTAAAAATGTATAACTTAGCAATGAGGAAACTGGGACTTTGTCCCCTTTTATTTCAGAGAAATTTGAGAAAAATTTTGCTTCTGCGAATATTGCAGACGGAGAGTTAATACTGTAGATAATGTAGCTTTAAAGAAACATTTTCTCATTAGCATAGCAGACAGTCTATGCGATGGTTATTCGCATATTTTAACTTTGGACTTGTTTGCTGTATTTCCAGGGTAAGCGGACTGAGGACTGTCGGTCGTCTGTTTCCGAATCTAACGGTCATTCGCGGTCATTCTCTCTTTATCAATTATGCCCTCGTAGCATTCGAGATGATGCATCTTCAAGAAATCGGTCTTCATTCTTTGACCAGCATTTTACGCGGATCTGTCCGATTCGAAAAGAATCCGACGTTATGCTATGTCGATACCATCGACTGGGATATCATTGCCAAAGCTGGCAAGGGAGGGCACTTTATAAAGGTGAGTATCTTCGATTTTTTTATTACTCAGTGCAACACTTAAACAGAGACGGCAAGTTATTATTAGAAAAATTCGATGGTTAAGATAAGTATGTTTGTCCAAGACTCGAATCGACCGAGAATCCTATCTTTATTTGACGCCATTCGACGAGCAATTCACATCGGCAACATCCAACTGACATTAAAATAGCATAATAGCTTACGATAGTTGCCCAGATTCTTTTGAAAAGATAGCACGAATTTTGTATAGTTACAATTTTTGACCAGTGTACTGCAATGTGCGCGACTCACCATGCTTCGCAGCGTCTTTCGTATCATCGAATTGTTAAGAGATAAAAAGAACTCAGGCGGAAGCGGTAAATTACTTCATTTACTTTACAATGAAACGCGTGTTATGCAAAGTGCGGTAATGCATCGTGAAAACTCATATAAAGAAGCCGTTAGAAATGGTATAATGGTGATACAACGCTTTGCCATGATACAATATACACTTTCTGAAGCGATCAAATCGCTTTAACATCATGTGAGTAAAGCTATAGGACTGCGTATTTATGATCGAATAATATATGAATACAACATAATAAATATTTATGGCGATAAAATTATTTATGCGTAAATTTTCCTTTTTACTGGTTTGGCCGATCAATCAATCAATTTCGCTCTTTGCTCAGAAATAGTATCGAATATCTCGTGAAAAGCATATCGTTGCGAGAAACGGTAAAGGTATTGATCATCGAATACGAGCCTTTCGCAATGTGTTTTTTGACCTTCGTATCGGCTTCGACGTAGTATAGTCTTGCGTCTTGTCTTACTTTCTTACACATAGTTTTGCACGATAGTGAAAGAATTTCCTATGTTCTAAAAAAATCTAACGCGCCCGTTTCTCTTCCCTAGTACATACAAATTACATTTCGTTGATTCGCGTGGCTTTTGAAAAAATAAAATACGTCAATATAGAATAAGATCAATTATACGAAAAGATAATGGCAATAAGATGACTAGATTAGATTCCGACGATATATCTACATGTAAAAGACGTCAGGTTAGAAATGTTGATGTATTTTCATTGCTTCACATGCTGTAACACTTGTGCTTTAAGCAGCATGTTGAAAAGTCATAATTCTGTAGTGGCATTTTGAAATAAAAAATCAAAATTTCAAGAGAAATTGTAAGTGGAATTACGTGCAAATGCACATATAAATAGAATTGTTACAGCGCACTTGTATTTTGTTTACAGGATAACAAACCAACAAATGGTTGTCCGATGTGCGACAAAAAATGCCCAACAAGACAGACGAAACCCGATCAGACTCTGTGCTGGAATCGACAACACTGCCAACAAAGTAAGTTACTGTTACGATCGATTATATTTGCGATTATATTACATCAGATTATATTACATCAGATCTTTCATCGAATCTTGAACCAGATTCCTATAAAAAAATACCACGGATATAATAACGATATTAAACTTTTTTGGAATTTAGTTAAAAACGATTTGAATTTAGTTAGAGGATTTTAACTGCTTGTTGTTCCACGTTGTGGAATTTACAGTTACATATTTCATCTTTTTAAGAGTGTCGTATATAAACACATCTGGTTAGAATACCTCCACAAGTACAATGAATATAAGCACATATAATTAATCTATCGGCATAATTTGCAAGTTATTATTTATTTAAAACGCGGTAAATAGCATTTTATTTTAACGTAACGATTTATTTTTATAGTATGCGACTGGAAGTGCGAGAATAGAGCTTGCAACAATACGGGAGAATGCTGTCATCCGTTTTGTTTAGGTGGATGCACAGGACCGACGGCCAATGATTGTATCGTTTGCAAAAATGTGATAATAAACGAAGAGTGTAAAGATCGTTGCCCAAAACGCAAGTACGAATTTATGAATCGACGTTGCATCGAAGAGCAAGAATGCCTTCAGATGCAGAAACCGCGCGAGGCGCCGGATGCTATGAAGTCACGCCCGTATAAGCCGTTCAATGGTACCTGCGTAATCGAGTGCCCTCCGGGTTACATGGAGAAAGATGAAGAGCATGGTAAGCCCCCAACCTGCCAGAAGTGCGAAGGTCAGTCGTGCTTAAAGGAATGTGCTGGTGCAAACGTGGACAGCATCGCTTCGGCACAAAAATTACGCGGATGTACACATATCGCAGGTAGCCTCGAGATACAGATACGCGGTGGCAAAAACATCGTAAAGGAACTTGAGGATAGCCTAAGCACGATTGAGGAGATAGATGGCTATTTGAAGATCGTCCGCAGCTTCCCGCTGATATCTCTCAATTTTTTGAAGAATCTGCGCGTAATACGCGGTACAACACTCGAGAACGGCAAGTATAGTCTTGCCGTGCTCGATAATCAGAATCTTCAGGAACTTTGGGACTGGAACACGCACCCGAATATTACAATCTTGTCCAGTGGGGGCCCCGCTAAGCTCTTCTTTCATTTCAATCCGAAATTGTGTCTGCATGAAATCGAAAAACTACGGGAGAAGGCCAAATTGGAAGAGTTCACCGATCACGATGTGGCATCCAGCAGCAATGGAGATAAAGTCGCATGTAACGTTACCGAGCTAAAGACTAAGGTCACCAAGAAGTCATCTAGAGGAGCTATTATCGAGTGGAAGGCCTTTACGCATCACGATACCAGGTCCCTCTTGGGTTACGTTGTTTACTTTATCGAAGCGCCTAATCAGAATATAACTATGTACGATGGCCGTGATGCTTGCGGCGGTGATGGCTGGCGGGTGGAGGACGTTTCCGCTGAGAGCACAACGCCGCAGCCCCACAACGGCACGGAATCACAAGAGCCTGTCTATCACACTCACATACTGACCCTGCTGAAGCCGTATACTCAGTATGCTTACTACGTTAAGACTTACACCATAGCCACGGAAAGGTCAGGCGCGCAGAGTAAAGTCAAGTACTTTACGACGCTACCGGATGCGCCTAGCTCTCCCAGAGCCTTATCGACTTGGAGTAATTCTAGCAACGAGCTGGTTATATCCTGGTTTCCACCACTTCAAAAAAATGGAAATCTAACGCATTATCGTATTGTTGGTCGTTGGGAGCCCGATGATCCGAATTTCATCGATCAGAGGAATTATTGTGACGAACGTAATTCAAATCACTTAATCATTTTTTCAATAATATATAGTAATATAATAATGTGAAAGAATTTTTTTCTAATACTAATGTTGTCACGGTTATATAATAATTATTACGATAATAGTATGCTACATTTTTTAATGCACTGTAAATATTTTTACAGTGAAAAATAAAGTTAATTCATTATTAATAAATTACTACTAATTTTAGCTATGCCGTTACCTGAGGCAAAACCACCAGAGGAAGTCATAGCGGAGGAAGAAAAGAAGCATAATGAGTTAGAGAAGGAGTTCGCAAAAACTGATTCGTGCGTCTGTTCCGATCGTGAAACGACGGATCAGTCGATGCGTGAGAAAGAAGTTTCCAGTTCGATTGCCTTCGAGAATGCGTTACACAATCAGGTTTATGTTAAACGACTGTCGCAGCAGCGTAGAAGACGCCACACTAGTGAAATGTTAATCGCAGCGGATCTAGCCAGAGAGTCTACGTTCGGCGATCAGGTAAAATTTCAGATTCCCTACGTCAGTAACGATTATTAAGTATAAACAAACAAATATAAAAATGAAAAAAAATTGAGTACTGCACTTTATTTACTTATTTGCTTTACTTATTACAAGTGATATTTCGAACATGATTCTTTCTATATTTCACATCACGTATATTTGTATTCAAATCAATTAAGAGATTAATTTAACTTCGACAGAAATAACGGTGAAAATATCAATACGAAATGAATCAATAGTAACATTTCATTAATTACGTTCAATTATGTAAAACAGTATTTTATATTGTCGTTTAAAATTGAATGTAACTCTCGATATTTCATGTTTAGGATAAAGAAAGTACTAATGATAAAGTGGAGAATGGTACATTCACGGTATTCGAGCGATTAATACCCAGCACCAATTTTACTTTCGTTATGAGAAATCTTCGGCACTTTGCTGCGTACAATATTGAAGTTCAAGCTTGCCGAGAACGTGTTGGGAATGATACGAAGAGTAAGAATTGTTCAACGAAGAGCATGAAAACGTACCGTACGTTATCTATGGAGAGCGCAGATAATATTCCATCGAACACCTTTGAATTAAAGACTTCTGGCGAGAATAACAGTTTCACTATAGTTACATTGTCTTGGGACGAACCACCTCAACCTAATGGCCTAATAGTCACGTATCAGATTGAATATAAAAGAATTGACATAAAAAATGTGAGTAATACACAATTTTTAGTTTTTATTTATTTTAAGTAAGAACATTGTAAATGTTTTCGTTATAAAAACAAGGAAGAATTTAATGAAAAAATATTTTTTAAAAAGAGAGGGAAGTAACTTAGAATGTATCTTGTACGTACTATCATCTGTAATACAATCTTTTCCCTATATTGTATAGATACAAGCAACAGTGGTATGTATTACAAGACGCGATTTTACCAACATGGGCAACTCGTACGTCTTGAAGGAACTTTCTCCTGGAAATTATTCTGTAAAAGTACGAGCTACGAGTTTAGCTGGAAATGGCGCGTATACCGAAGTGAAATATTTTTATATACCGGAATATGGTACATTTGGTACATTCTGGATTTTCTTCTGGTCGATATTGGGTGTTGTCATAATGTTTAGTTCTTTAATAATATTCTACGTATTTAAAAAGAGATCAATGCGAAATGTGCCTAGTATGCGACTTATTGCGACAGTGAATCCAGAATATGTAAGCACAAGTTACGTACCAGACGAATGGGAAGTGCCCAGAAAGAAAATTCAATTATTACGAGAATTAGGGAATGGTTCTTTTGGCATGGTATACGAAGGATTGGCCAGGGATGTCGTGAAAGGTAAACCGGAAGTACGGTGTGCCGTGAAAACTGTAAATGAAAACGCAACCGACCGTGAACGGATAGAATTCCTTAACGAAGCGTCCGTCATGAAGTAAGAAGAATTAATTACTTCCTCTCTAGCAACATGTACCTGTTTCTATCTTTCTGACTTATTATAATTTTCTTGTTAAAGGGCTTTTAATACTCATCACGTTGTCAGATTGTTGGGCGTAGTGTCGCAAGGTCAACCTACATTGGTAGTTATGGAATTGATGGTAAACGGTGATTTAAAAACATATTTGAGAAGTCATCGACCGGATGTATGCGAGAACTCTAAACAACCTCCGACGTTGAGAGATATCTTGCAAATGGCAGTCGAAATTGCAGACGGCATGTCTTATCTCGCCGCAAAGAAATTCGTCCACAGAGATTTAGCTGCTCGTAACTGTATGGTAGCCGAAGATCTTACTGTAAAAATTGGTGATTTCGGCATGACGAGAGATATATATGAAACCGATTACTATCGAAAGGGGTCCAAAGGACTGTTACCAGTCAGATGGATGGCACCAGAAAGTTTGAAAGATGGTGTATTCACTAGTTTTTCTGACGTTTGGAGCTACGGAGTTGTTCTCTGGGAAATGGTAACATTAGCTTCGCAGCCATATCAAGGCTTGTCGAATGATCAGGTAAATACAAATTGTGCAAGAATATGATTTTTGATTGTTATACGTTTCTCTAAATTATTATTGTATTGCTTTTAGGTATTGCGTTATGTGATTGAGGGGGGAGTTATGGAACGACCGGAAAATTGTCCTGACTCACTGTATAATTTAATGAGGCGTACCTGGAATCATAGAGCCACGAGAAGACCTACCTTTATAGACATCGAGACGCAGTTGTTGCAAGAAGTTAGTATAAAAGACTTTGAGAATGTTAGTTTTTATCATAGTCCGGAAGGAATCGAAGCTCGAAATCAAAATAATTCGCATTCACCACAAACTGACCAGTAAGTATATAATTTCATATCAATTAATATGTAGATAATTAAATGTATGTAATTTAATTATTTAATTTAAACAGAGATCTAGAAATGGTTGCTCTACAAGATTTACGGGAGGAAGAAATGGAGGGAGAAGAAGATTCGCCACTGCGTCAAGACTTTGGTGACTTTGCAAGTTTTGAACCTCGCAGTATTAAAAATACCTTAAGTCCACGATACGCAGATTCGTATGGCGAAACCTCAAAAGCTACTTCCAATTTCCATGACATGAATTCGATAAAAGTACCCAAAGCTGGATTCGATGAATTTGGCGGTATCTCCGGAGATTCGCTCGTATCTAGTAAGGACACGTTAAACTCGCCTTTTGTAGAAGGCAGCCTTAAATCAGTCAGGAGCTCGCCTTTTATATATAAGAAAAGTACTTCCCGCAGTAACGTAAGTCAAGGTTCTCTAGGGAAGCCTGGAAGTCCACAAAGTTTAGTTAAACGAAATTTTCTCGATAGCCCAAATCCGTCTAAGCTTCGGGATGATCCCGATTACGAAAACAGGAGTCCTGAAATCATGTCAGGCATTGAAAAAAAGGAGATTACTTCTTTACACGTAGAATTTCCTTCAGTGGACGTTATGGATATTCAGATTAATGGTGACAAAACGGAAAACAACAAGCGCACGGGAGACTACATGAACAAATCAGAAATGTTGAATAACGGTTACATCAGTAATACGACCACGTAGCTTCGCTGTACGAAACTTTATCACTTGGAGTGAATCGGATATGAATATTCCAACAAAAAGGCAGTGTCTGTGCCAAATTTCTCAGCGTACTGAATTATCATTTTGAAAGGATTACATTGAACAATGTTTTCTGTATATGAAAGGGATGTTAGTGTGTTCTAGCTCTAACAAACAAGTTATACTCGTAAGTCTATATTTTAAACGTCTAGACGTAACTAAGAGTACAGGTCCTAACAAACAAGTGGAGTTTCCTTATACGGGTGTTACCATGTCTTAATTCCGTCTCTCTAAATGTAATTTATCGCTACGCGTGTACAGCTAATTATATATTTGTTGCGCTGCGATGCATGTTGGAAAAGAGCAGCGAATATATTTATATCAGATACTGTCTTTTTGAAATTGTCGCTATAGTATATGTTAATACGGAGAGTTACTTTATACTAAAGACGCCGTTTATCGTGGAGTTATTACAGACAGTTGCGATTTAAGTCAAATGTCTCTCCTTAAGATTGGGCCGCGTACACTATGTACATGCGACTGTCCATTGGCAATGCACATTATCTGACAAGCATATAGTAACTTCTCTCTCCATTAACCATCTAGCGTGTAAGCGTGTATCAAAGAATTAAGCAAGTTTATTATTTATATCATAGACTTTCTGTTTCATTTTCAGTCGCAAGATGCGTTTTTTGCGCGATTTCTGCTGTAACTATATATTTGTATAGCATTGATTTATTTTTTTTCCGAGTTTATAGTAAATATGGTAAACCAAAGTGGCAATTAGGTCGACTACCGCGTTGGTACGACATTTTGTTCACAGCAAAAAGACCATATTTTATAAATTTTGTGAATTACACCTAGTCGCCACTTTGCATGATTTTAAGCTTTGAACTCGTATAGTGATATAGATATGTTGGAAAGTATATGTGTAGAGGGTGATTCAGAATAAGTGTATGGACTTAGCAAATATATCGCGTTCCTCTAATTTATAAATTTCTATTATATTTATGTTTTCTACATTGTTTTAATATTTTTGACTTTATTGTATCAGTTCATCTAACAGTTCTGAATTCACCAATTGTTCGATACATAGTAGGGGAATTAGAAAGTAAGGACCCTTTTTCAAATTGAAAGGCTTCAGTAATGACCATATGATTGATGAGCATTTGCGATATATACATATAGTTTGCAAAAAGTTCATAATCTTTTTCTTATTTTAATTCTTATTTTTATTGTAATTATAGTGAAAATCTACTTAAATGTAAAAACAATTAGAATCTAATTTTCAAATTTAATATTAACATTACATTTTAATTTCAAAAATGCTATCACGAGATCAAATGCGTTACGTTTATAAAAACACTAGTATTAATTTAAACGGCGCCTTGTTTTTCTTATTCTGTCTATTTAAACAATCTTGCATATATAAAGATAAAAATAAACAAAAAGCTGTATATTTCATGGGTTAAATAAGTTAACGATGATAATGATATGCAAAAGAAAGATTGATGTTCATCTATCCCAATGTGAACTTTACTGAACCTGATGCGTTAAATATTTATGAAACAAGCAATAAGTAATTCCATCAAAATTTTATGTTGCTATTGTGCTTCTGAAATTTTTCCAACGTACTCTGTACGTATGACAGATTATATGCTATGTACGCAACTGTACTATTTCGTGGAGCTGGCACATGAAATCGCGCTTTGTCTCCTATAATATGTCTCTTAAAACATCTTCCAATGAGGAAGATATAGCATATTTCTCACTGCGAATGAATACCACTTTTCGACTGAAAGTTAACATATTCTGCAAAGATTCACCGTGCAATTTACAGTCATGAGTTTGTAGTCTCCATAGTGCAATAGGATCATCCACATTTTTATTTATACGTCGTAAACGACTACAATAGTCCGCGGCATGAGATATCGCTCTTAATCCGTTGCGTAATCGTTTCTGCGTTGCTCCACGAAATAAACTATGAAATTCAGAGGCATGCACCATGCTTTTGAGTAGAGACGAGAGAACGTAGACTGTCTTAGAGCCCAGTGAGAAACAGATTAACGACGGACGAGAAAAGGTTGAATCCATGTAATCGTTACAGTCGCGAGATGAATAATATTGGATGAATCCTAATGGAATGAGCTAAGAAAAGAGTTATTATACGAGCAACGCAATGTAATGCAGTTGAGTCTAGACATAACGAGCCTCTAACACAAGACTGATTAGCTAATCCCACTATATATCCGTAATCTCTCAGTAAGTTAAAAGATACAAGACAAAATGGTAGAAGTTCCAGATTGTTCCATATCCGCAAAAACCCTCCTTTTGATGATTTATTTCGTTTGTTCTTACACCGTGCATCCGTTTGAAAGTATATTTAGTCCACTATGAGATTTATTAATGCGATCCATGGTTGTTTCGTTCCTACAACGTCGCGTACATATGGTCGTGCCACTTTGATTCGATGCTTATCAGAGCAAAAATGCGATAAAGCGATATATAGGGTATCTGAAATTATTGTACAATTTTTTGTAACAGATTTCTTGATAAATTCGCGTATGATATTAATCTCTTGTCGATGCTATTTAGAAGAATATTATTTCTCATTGGAGTCGTTTAACTCTCAATATTACGCATCTAATCCATTAAATTGTCATTCAAAAATCAGATTTCTGTTAAAATGAAATTAATAAGATCTCTCTTTGTTATCTACACTCTTACAATATCTAGTAATGTGTATATAAATAAAATGATTTTAAAATGCAATTTGAAATGAAAAATAATTATATGACACATGTATACACATGTATGCCATTTTATATATTAAAATTTTATTTTATCATTTTTAAATTAATTCTCTCTCATGTACAAAATTTTTTCAAGTTTCCTTAGAATTATCCGTTCGAAAATTAATTCTGAATTTATCAAAGAATTTTTTTATTAAAAAAAAATGCTTCAGTCTCAGGATACCCTATATATCAATGAATAAAGTACCAGTGACTTAATAGCAAATATCTAATGCTATTCCTAACATTTTATACAAATACATCAGATACAAAAAAAATTGTAATATCATAGCTTGTGTACAGACACAAGACGATGCAAGAAATGTGAAGAAAAATGTAATTAGATAAAATATGTAAGAAGCGAAAATCTTGTACGACATGTCACGATTGTTCTTTTTAAAAGTATCTGTTATTCAACACTTTTCTTCTGCATCGCTCTTAGCGATTCTAGACTAACAATCCGTAGTTATCACATTTTCTTTTTTTATATGTCCGGAAATTTTGTTCACTTCCAACGTGCCAAGTTAAATGATTAGGCATTTATTTATTGGAATGTTGTTATCTCTAATTGATGCACCGATTGCATAATGCATTCTCTTGCTTTTTGTCAAAACTCTTGACGAAAAAATCGAATATCGAGATAATGTACTTACGGCACCTTAGATCACACTAAACTTTTTTTGTAACTCGAATGATTTCGTTTAACGTACAATACATATATTATATAAAATCTGTTCTGTTCAGTTTAAATTTTCTTGAAAGCAAAATGCTTTAATACGCGCAAAACGCACGTTTTGAAATGAAAGGTGGCAAAAACTCATGTACTCATTAAACGGAATTCGGAATATTCCCGGAATTAAGCAGAGAAGGAACACGACTAATGACGGATAAATTATCGGCCGATGTATCGTAATAATAAGCCTCGCTCGTATTGTGAAATATCTAGTATATAGTAATAAACAAACACAGTTAACGCTTAGACCATGTACATGTACCATATACGAAATAAGTATCGTAAGATTAACACGAAATGTTTCCTATATGGCCGCGAGTCTCCGTATTATAAGAACGGCGCGCGATCGCTAAAATTTAGGCCTATAGTTTAATAGTTCTGTAATATATTAAGAGTTACTTGAAAATTTTAAGATAGTACGTAATCATGTCTGGAAATGTGTATAACTATAAAGTGTGCCTGTTGACGCGCAATTGATCGCATTTGATAATAATGTGATCCGTTTGAACGTAAATCACAAAGCAGAGATTCAAGGGTGTTTGGCCGCTAGATCAATGTACATCTGTATCAATGTCGAAAAAGATCGAGGAATATCGAGCAGGTAGAACAGCATTTATTTTATCGTAAAAATTAACATTTACTTTTTATCGTAAATATTAAGCAAAGCGCGTACTCCGACTGCGTCACGTGAATAATTAAGTCCTCCGCTAATCTTAGACTGAAGCATAGCTCTATTCATCCTCAACGTTGAGAAACACTGACATAGGACTACATCTCGATCTGTAATTTATTTGTATTTATTCTGTGTACATGAAGCAGACGAATTTACCGCAATTTTGAGACGCTATTGATTAGTTGATATTTAATGGCATACGTTGCACTTTAGCAAATATATATGAGCATTACACGGTGACTCAATTCCTTTTGCAATCGATATCACGTCCTTCGTATTTCGAACTCATTACATCAATATCTCATGTAGAATTTGAAAAACGCATTGATTTTATATCAAGGAATATTTTGAATCACGTCTTGCAATCCAATATTTTTGTTATATATGATTCTTTTGTTACGAATAAATTTTTGCGGTATACATCTAATAAAAAAATCTTGCAGTAAAATAAAAGCCCCATCATGAGGCTTCTTATTATGATTATATAGTAATGGCTTTAATTAATATCCCACATGCTGTTTTTATTCAGTCTTCTTTAATCTAATCTTGTTCGCAATTATGTTCAGTTCCTATCATATTACATTTATACGCGCAATAGACAAGACTCTGATACAACATTATGTAGTATAATATGCATAGCGTTATATCAATATATGCTAATATATAATTTCAAATCATATTTATGTTTTATCACTATTTAGTCAATTTACTACTTTTCACTTTGCGAAATAAGTTGGTTGACTGTACAACTGCTCAATATTAGATTGCTCAACTTCCGTGACAGTAAGATAATACAGTAAAACTAACATTATTATATACACCGTGTAAAATATAGATCAAAGTCTTTTTATTTCAACTGAATTCATGAAACGTTTTGTTCTATTTTATAGTCTGATCTTTTTCATTTATTTTATAGTAGATACGATCTTACTTTTTATACATATAATAGACTATCAACAAAATCACGTTAGTTTTAGCAAAAAAGTAAACAGGTTAAAGATTAAAGAGAGAGAGAGAGAGAGAGAGAGAGAGTTAAAGCTGAGACCCGTATTACAAAGTTATTCAGGATAATTGTACTTTTTTATGTTCTCTTTATACATTTAGATTTTTCAAAGAAAATGATTCAAAAATATCATTTTAATTTTTTATTGAAATTACGTGTATTTTGACAACGCATAGTGTCCAATCGTTCCTATTCTACGAACATTGACACTTTTTATTAAATCGTTTTATATGACAACTGGTATATGTATATATTGTTAATTATATGTTTTTTGTGTGTCTATCATAGAGTTATCACACACTCATAGAACACGTTTATTTAAGTGAATGTACGTATGCTTTAACTGTTCATTGTATTTATACAATATTACGATAGTATACAGACAAAAAGATTTATTTTTGACAATTATACACAGAATATTTTTTGTTTATTTAAACAAAAATATTATACTTTATCAAAATTGCTAAAGATTAACCATGGTCATACACTAATGCTCAAACTGCTAATTTGCAAATGTAACAGAAGCAAAATTATCTGGACAATTTGCGATCAGCTATCTATGATACAGATGTGCAAAGATTATAAATTGCGAAGCTTCCTTTTTTTTTATTTCCGCTTTTCGGCGATGTTTTGTGTACCGGTTCAGTCTGTAAATGCTTGTAAATAGTATTTCGATTGATTTTTTACTAAAAATCTACTTGGCAAGCATGCATTGGACGGAGTGAGTTGTATAATGTTGGGCTATAAAGTGCGGATGCGTTTGAACGGAAGTGTGTTTATAGTATGTCAAATAAAATTAATGCACACATTATTTGACAAGACGAGTACGCGTTCATATGCAAAGCTTCTTAAGAACAAAGTGCGAATGTAAAAAGAAAAAAAAACGAAATACTCGTTGTTTCCCCCACAAGTTTAATGCCGAAGAATATTTTATCGTTAACATC